ACTTTTAAATTACCAATCAGATTTTTGAAAAAATGTCTACATAAAAAGTTATAAGCATTTTAAATTAGATGATTTTTATATGACTAGCCCAAATTTGAAACGAATCAAATCATATGTATGTAATTTTATTGGTTGATATTTTTGGCCAAAATTATAATAATTTAATGTTAACCTGAATTATTGTAATTTATTATATTCAAAAAATATTTCATTTTACATAGATAGATTAAAATTTTTTTTTTTAGCCAATAATCATTTTTTTTTCACATTTAGATTTGAAATTAATTAATTCTTTAAAATGATATATAAAATAAAAAGATAATAGCAATTAGTAAGATTCCTAGAAAGAAAGGACATTTTATATCTCAGGATCAAGTTACTGCTATTGAAGAAGAATAGATAGAAGACAAAGTTATTGAAGAATGGTTAAAAAAAGAGGCTATTGAAAAATTGACAGAAAATGAAAATTTTGAGGATATAATTTTTGACAATAAAATAGGAAATAATACTGTTGAAGATTGGTCTGAAAAAGATTTTAAAGCATTTGAAGAGATAGGAAAGAGATTTATTAATGAAGCTCTTCATTAGCATAAGGATTCTATAAGTAGTATTAGGGCAATATATACTGAAGATTTAAGGACAACGCTGTAGAGGAATGAAAAGAAAAAAGCAGAATTAGAAGAGCACACTAAAGGAATAAAAAAGATTGATATTTTTTTCAAATCAGCTTTTGAAGATATTGGATCATCAAAGTCAATACCAATTAATACAAAGACGAATCTACATACATGTTTAGAATAGCTTAACCAATTATGTTTAATAGAAAAATCTAAAAAAGAAAATCATAATATATTTATCTATAATTATATACGTCTTCTAAATATATGGCTAATATAAACAGAAATTATTAGATAAAAAAGGAAAAATGATGGCTAGTAGTCAAATTGCTCAGGTTATGTAGAATAAAGGAGACTATATGGCTCAATGCATTAGAAAATGAGGAAATCATTTTATACGAACTGGTGAACTTCCTGTACATTCTTAAGAAAAGCATATGAAAATTGAGAGTCTGCTGAATGATGAGGATTTTATTAAAGGTTGCTAAGTATGGTTATGATAACAGATACCAGAAACACGTTCTCCCTATAATTTAAAAATGTATATTGAAGAAACATTATTTTCAAACTTAACATGAAATATTAAAAAGATACCATTGCTGAAAAGATATGTCAAAATTATATATATTTATGGAGATATAAGTATAATGAAAGGAGAAAGGGTATTTATTATGATGGACATGAGAAGCCAGATGTGGTAGAATATAGAAAAGGGTGGCTAAAAAGAATGTTTACATACAAAAAATTTATGAAGAAATTTGATAGTGATATGTTAGATATTGTATTGGAACCCGAACTCAAATCAAAAAAAAAAGAATTTGTTTAGGTAATGTATGATGAGTGTCACTTCTATGCAAATAATGGATGACGAAGAATTTGGGTTAGAAAGAAAGAAGATATTTTATATCTAAAACATTTAGGATGCTCTATAATGGTTTCTGGTTTCCTTTGTTCATATTATGAGTCATTACAACTATTCGATAAGCAATTATAGAAAAATCTGCATATCAAAGATAAAAATGCTTATATTCTTCGTTCTATATAAGCAGATAAATATTAAACCTCAGAACATATGATAGAACAGGTTTGATTATATTTTTTTTTATGAAAAAAAAAAAAAAAATTTTAAATGCTAAACCAACTTATCTTATCTTTATAATATATCATAGCTTATGCAAAAAGAATTCTAATATTTGAGATATTATACCCTGAATGCATTGGCATTTTTTGTTTTGATTAGTTAACTAATCACAATGCTATAGCAGAGAATGTATTGATTACAACAAAAATGAATTTAAGACCTAAAGGAAAACAACCTAAAATGTGTGATGGTGGTATATTAATAAAAATTAATAAATATGAAGATAAATGTATAGAACTTATAATATTTTCAAATGATCATCTAGCAGAAAATTTAAGAGAGAAACTAAAAGGAATTAAAAAAGTACTTGATAAATGTAATCTTTGGCTTAAGGAAAAGATCAATTTAGTATGCAAAAAATGCTCTGAAAAGGATGTTGATAATGACTTAATAAGACAGAACTGTTACGCATAACAAATAATATCCTTATAGCTTGACTTTCTTGAACAATGATCAGCATTAGAAGAAATAATTGTTAGATCAAAACATATTTTGAATGGTATCTAAAGTTTCATTGTGAATGTAACTTTATAGAGTAGTACTGAGGCTTTGTGAAATGAGAGACTAGAGGATTATATAGTTATAACTATTCAGACCTACTTATACATATTTCTAGAATACTTAATAATATTCTTATAATTACTATTCGAAAGTTTGTACATAAATCATAGAGATATATGGATGCATATGACAAAGGATTAGAGGTAGGACTGCTGAATAGATTATTACCGTATTCTTCTGAAAATAAGCAACACTTTTTTTTATAGTGTTGCTTATTTTCGGGTAGTTTAATAAAATAAAAGAAATTCAATCGCGCAATCACCCAATCATGTGATTTTTGTCGATCGAATCGTTCGTAATTTATCACGTAATACGTGAAACAGGTTTTAAACAGATTTTATTTTTTTTATGTGAAATGGCAAAACGAAAAAGGGTAGTTAAAACTGTTAAATGTAAAACTCAAATTGTAAAACGAATACGAAATTTATACTCAGTTGAATATAAAAAGAAGGTCATTGCCTACGCAAGAAACCATGGAAATAATAAAGCAGCAAGACACTTTGATATTGATCGTGGTATGGTGAGTCGGTGGGTAAATGCAAGTTCGAAATAGACAAGTGAAACTAAGGGGAAAAGCAAACAGGTTGGCTCTGGTAGAAAAGCCTTATTTTCAGAAGCAGAGAAAAAGCTTTATACCTAGATTATACAACAAAGAAAACAGGGTCTTTCAGTAGCCTACATAACTATAAGAAACAAAATGTTAGAGATCTTAAAAGAACCTGAAATGGTGGTTCTTTATGGTAATGTAGGTAAAGACTTTAAAACATCTTAATGTTAGATATTGGGCTTTATGAAAAGATTTAATTTAGCATTGCGTAGACGAACTAAAATTTCCCAGAAACTTCCTGATGAAACTCAGGAACAACTAGAGAAATTTTACCAGTTCATTAAAAATTTAAGAATTGAAAAGTCGTTCAAACTGAATAACATCCTTAATATGGATGAAACTCCGGTTTGGTTCAACATGGCCGGTGTTTATACAATTAACCCTAAAGGAGAGAAGACGGTTCATATTCGAGCCACAGGAAATGAAAGGAACCGATTCACAGTAGTCCTTACATGTGCTGCAGGTATCGTTCTTTTTTTTTTTATTTTTTTTATTTTTTATTTCTTTTACTTTTCCCGCCTTTTCCACTTAATTTTTTTTTCTTTTTCTTTATTTGATTTTTTTAATCTTACAATAGACGGGTCCAAATTCCCACCAATTTGTATCTTTAAAGGCAAACGAATGCCACGTGAAGAAAAAACACCTCCGGGAGTCATCGTTTGGTTTCAGACCAACGGTTGGATGGATACCAATTTGATGCAGAGATATATAGATTATTTCAACAATGTAAGGGTGAGAAATGGAACACAAGAAGATCCAGCAATGCTTGTTTACGATTCATTCAGAGGCCACTTAGAAGATTCGATTAAAAAAAGATTTCATAAAAGTGGTGTTTATCTCGCGGTAATCCCAGCGGATTGACAAGTAAATGCCAACCACTTGATGTCTCCATTAATAAGCCGTTTAAGGACAATCTTTGAAAGGAGTGGCATTCTTGGATGGCAGATGGCGGTGCCGGAGAAACTGCCTCAGGAAATCTTTACCGCGCAAGTCTTAGTGATGTGTGTTCATGGGTAAAACGTTCGTGGGAGGGTATTTCTACTGATATAATTGTTACGTCCTTTAAAAAGTGCAATATTTCAAATGATTTGGTTTGTATTAGTGATGATGATGTTAATGATCGTGATAACGATCATGACGATGATGATTATGATGATGATATCACTGATAATGATTTCGATACTACTGTTAGTGAGAATGATCATTGACATCATAGATTAATTTTTTTCCACTAGAAATTTTATATTTTTTTGGATGAACACTAATTTCATAATCTTTTTTTTTTAAAAAAATAAACAATTTAAAGCTAAATTATTTATTTATTCAAAAAAAATTTTATTAAAAAAAAAAAATTTCAATTTTTCCGAAGGGTTGCTTATTTTCGGAAGAATACGGTATTGTAATTTTAATTCTTATTTAGTTTATTACAGGTTTTATAGGACGTTTTGTGTTATTTTATTTACTACTATGATCCATATAACCATCTTTTAAAACATTTAAACCTTTTGGTCCTGTTTGCCATGTTAATTTTTTCCCTTTTCTCAAATTGTCGCAAGATTTTTTTTTGATGTCTTTGAAGCTCGAATCAATAACTTGATATGGGTCCTTATCATATATTTCTCCAAAAATGCACTTAAAGTCGACCATTTTGATTTGATTTTTAATAGTAAACATAAATTTAAATTGCGATGAAGAAGCTTTGACAATCTTGTAACTAGCAATATCTCCAAGTTTTTTAAAATCAAATTCACACTTAAACTCGTATGAAAGGTCATAAGGATTCATCATCGTGTAAGTGACTTTTACACAAAATTCGAATATTACCAAAAATTCAGTATCGTTGCTGGTAATAAATTGCATTTCTGAAATGTTAAAATTGACTTTCTCTACATAATGATAGGTCAGGTAAGTATTAGTAAAAAAAATAGGTCAAACAAAACAGCTAATAATTTGCTCACTTGATGAAATCCGAAGGCCGTTCTTCATTGAAAATACATGTATCCAAGATATTCCTTCTCCCGATTTTATATGTATTGCGATTAAACTTTCTTCGCAATTCACCGCTGTTTTCCATTCACAATCCCTGGAACCAATAACAATGTTTTCAGTAATTGCTAAAATGTTATAATAATTTTCTATGCTCATCGTTTCAAAATTTAATTGAAGCAAGACATTTTGATCTACGAGAGTGAAATACATTCTTTTATTAATTTGAACTTTATGATCAATCTTGATCTCTTCTACTCCCCAAAGATAATGTCTTGATATATATGAACACGGTGATTTTGTTGAATTTCTTAAGGATGCTTCTGAGTATATATAAATATACGGAAATAGTAGCAATAACAGATCTCCATTTGGAAGAAATCGTAAAAAACTTTCTTTAGTTGGATGAGGTCTTATCGATATCTCTTTAAAAGTTTCCATATTTTGTATAAATGGATTCTTAACATCACAGATCATTAATTTATTGTTTGATAATCCAATTAACGAGACGGACTTATTTAATAATACTTCTTCCTTTGGTTTTTCGTCTATTATATCTTTTGCGTCAGCGTATTTCTTTCGGTTATGCTCGGCTGCTGCCTTCGCTTTCCGTGTTCTTTCTTTTTCTTTGTCTAATACTTTACCAAAATCAATTATATCGACGATGTTATCAACAACCTTCCATATAGCTAAGTAACCATCAGCATGGCTAGTACCGACATGATTCAAATCCGGTGAAACTACGAACGATTCAATGGGCGAATTTGGTTGATCTATTTCTATGCTATCTTTTACTATACTATCTTTTCCTATATTAATTGTAATACTACTACTATTACTATCGGTTTCGTCAACACTGTACGTAGACCCCATATGTTCCAGAAATAAGATGCGGAGTATCAAATTATCGAACTTTTATATACCAGGAATTGTACCGAAAGAAACCAAGCTAACAAGCTAAATAACTTAATAACTCAATTATCTCTAAGGCCTTTCCTAGGAGAAATAAACGATCAACAATCAAAACAATTTATTATCACGGTTCACTTGTGTAGTTAATTATCACAATCAATCCTATGATGAAGACAAGAAGAAGTGGAAATTTCTAAATAGTAACTTTATTAATTTGTAGAGTTATAAGTCTAATCCTAAGAATTATTCAGAAAACTATCTGATTGAATTCTGTCGACTCAAGGTCAACTTACAGGTCTATTTATATAAAATTGCTAGCTATTACATGTAACGAAAACTAAATAATATAATATAAGTTATGAAAAGTAAATTATCCGATAAAATAATTCAAACGTTACATGCGTCACATGTGTCACATTACATGATTAATATGGAGCCTTTTAAAATTGACCTTTTTTGACTTTTTCTCTTATTGTTTGTAACAACAAAATATAAAAATAAAGTCAAAAAAAGTCAATTTGAAAGACATATGTTACTTCCGTGACAATCGCCGCAGTGTGAGGTCATCCTAGGCGCAGTACGCTTTGCGATTAACAACGTTCAGTAAGATAACATTCAATCATTTTTTACAGATAATCACATCAGTTTTGCAGATCAATGATGGTGCGACACTAAATAAATAATGACGTAGCGTACTTATTTATTTTTTCGTTATTTGTGAAAGCGAAAAAAAAATCATTTATTATCGATTTGGGTATTACCAAGCCCATTATGCGTTATTTTTTTTTTTTTTTTGGCAAAAAATAAATCTGTTTAATATGTAAAATAATTTTATAAATTTCTTTTGTCAAAAGAAAAAAAATAAATTATATAATAAGAATGGGTCAACTAGAAGAGAAAACTTTATAACTCGATTAAATATTAATAAACCGAATTTTGAAATGTCAAAAGGAACCATTTCATAAAGTAAATCTAAATTCCAAATTGGGGAAGTATAACGTATTACAATTCAGTAAAAGTTATACAGGAATAAATATTTATGTAGCCTATCATATCTTTAGATTATCTAAAATGATTAAATTCAATAATGATATCATTCCATTCATTCCATTACAACAAAGGAAATTATTTAATGATAACAATCACTGGTAAAAGAAGAGAATGCATCGAAACAATAAATGTTCTCGCATAAATATTTTATAATTAGTGTCATTCATGCGAAACTTAATCTAATCGCATCTTAATTTCTGACTACGGATATTAAAGAATAAGGAACCATTAAAAAAAAGAAAATCTGAATGAAAATTGAAGTAACATATTAATACGTCTTTCTGTTTAGATTATTTCTAGACTTAAATATTTCACCAGAACGAAATGGAGAGCAAATTATTAAAGGCAAATCAAATGGTTTAAACATCAGAGTTCGAAGGCCTTATTGGTTCAATCCATGAAATATAAATTACATTTACCTCAGTATCGTCTTATAAACAATATCTTAGTGTCATAATATAAATTATTATTAATCAAGGGAAACTACTCCATTTCCTAACAACAGAAAATTCATAAAATTATACATTGAGGTGGTGATTAATTTTTTTGTGGATTCGTTGTCATTTTTTTTTTATTGAATATTGCATGATCAATATTCATTTTTATCCCTGACTATATTTTTCATGAAATTGACAACCAACTTTAGAATAAATAAGGATAAGTTTGCTCTCCTTGCTATCCATCTGATATTTAAGTAATAATATTAGTAAGTTTCTTATTTGTTTCCTAAAATAAATAGTCTTCATGTTTAGGTAAAAGATTAATTGTCAACACATTTTTTAAATTATTTCAAATAATTAGCGAAGTCATAAATGAGCGTAGCCGCATCGTAAGACTCAGTATGGCACTACAAAAATGAAAAGGACTTTGTCGTTAAAATTGCGCCTTTTATAGAAGATCATTTCTTATATAATTTTAGCCTTTGGACGGATTTACATCTAAAAAAACATAGTACTGCTCCTTCAGTATCGAAAGAAGGACGAGCTATGATCTTTCCACGTTATGTAACGCATACTCGTAAACATTTGCAAAAAAAAAAATTTTTTTGGCTATTCATTAAGGTAACTTTTCATTTCATTCATATATACTCGCACCGCATCAAATTTTTTTAGTCATAATCCAGTTACTAGTTTATGGAAAAATAAAAAGCAAATAATAATAATCGTTTTACCAAATCCATTAGATATATTACTGCGGAAACGATTAAGTTTATTGTGCTTAATATTTTTCTTGTTAATAAGAAATTTATCTCGGCACGAGATAGAAAAAAAGGTAATTACGCTTTATTTTAATAAAATTGTGTTTTTATATAAATATTCATTGAATAAATACAATTTATAGTGTGGTGAAACCGTTATTAAACTTGGAACTAAACATCATGCGCCAACAATTGGGTGATATGGGAAGCTTGCTAGGAAAATCAGGTTTTGAAATTTTTTTTGACAAAATTAAAACCTTATTACATTTTAATCTAATAACATCCAAAACTAAAAAATTAAAACTTTCCATATGGGCCGATTTGTCTCACTTCAATTACGTTACCTGTGGGCTGTCGATCATTGTCACATTTATCACCATAGCTAGTCTGTTTATTGGCTCAAATTTCACGTGCGTGGTGATCAATAAATACGAACTTAAAAAATTTTCGTTGAGAATTCAAAAAGAAAATTTTTTATAATTTTAACAACACAAATTTCATAATAAATAGAATTATTTTATAAACCACTTGAAAACATCCATTATATCTGTTTTTATAAAATAAAAATGTTCAAAATGAATAACAGAAGAATGAGTAATCACGAAAACTATAAATAAATGTTATAATATGCTCAAAAATTATTATCCAAGCTTTCTATGATCCAATTTAAATAATTTTTAATGCTCTAAGAGGACAAATAAGACTCTTTTTAATAATACTAAAATTGTCTAAATTCTGCATGTTTATCTATAGCTATAACCCTTTAAAGATATGATACATAATCTCATTATAGTAGTAAATAAAATAATACAAAATGTCCTATAAAACCTGTAATAAAATAAATAAGAATTAAAATTACAATAATAAAGATTTTTTTTAGAACCTTTCAATGCTATTTAAAAAATATTTAGGAAACATATTATTTTTGTTTTTATTTCTAACGTAATAAGAGTTATTTTTGCCATTTTATCAAATAACCTTTCTAATATTTAAATTAAAATAATTTTATAATACCACTTACCATTTCTAAAAAAATAAATTCCTTTCAAAAAAAATCAATTCCAAACCAATTCCTAACAGGTTTTAATATTACGAAATCAAGTTTTGCAAGCGTGCGAAGTCTTTGACAATTGGCTTAAAAGTGAAAGCAAAATATACGTTATTATGCATTATTTGATATCATCACTATTTTCACTATTTTCATATATTAACATATTGATCAAATTTCACATTTATCACTTTTATTAATAATTGATGTGAAATAAATCAGCCCATATGATTAAAATAGATCAGATTTTCATCCAATTAAATGGATTTTTAACTTGCTTTTTAGAATGCACTGACTTTTTTTTTCAAAAAAATAAATATTTTCAAAAATGATGTTAGCATAATAGACATTAGTTATATCACATAATGATAAAATCAAATATCAATTTTTTTTATATTGTGTAATCTTTGATTTAAAGTAATAAAAAAAAAGATCAATAAATATTTTAAAAACTAATCTATCAATGCGTAATTTTTTTTACATTGATATATCGTTTATTTCTTTCTTTACATTTGAATAAAAAAAATCTAGAGATCTCTGCTTTTAAGAAAGTTAGATAAGAGCTAAAATTTTAAGGTTAAAATTATACATATTACAATATATTTTATTTAATAACTTATAATTTACTAAGTTTAAAATATTT